CCCCTAGCACCCAAACCATAACAACCTATGTCTCAACCCCCAACACACCAAATACACCCAACCAGAGACCCACATGATGGAACTACCAGAAGAACCATACACCACCACATAGAAAAAACCCAACCTCAACCCCATAGACCCGCACCCCCATAGAAAAACCATATTCCCCAACCCGAAATCCCCAACCCTTGAAAATGGAAATGGTATTCTCTAATAAAATATCTATAATAGGAATAAGGTTTAGGAATAAGGTAATAGAAAGAAGCAACCCCCTGTTCGGACGACATCAGCGACTACCACAACAAACATAACGGCGCCTCTTCATCGGAAGGACTGGTTTCAAGGGTCTGGGATTTAGGCTTGGGGTGTAGTCCCTTGAGTGCACAAGTGAATCCATCCGACAGCAGAGTGCGGCCAAGCAGCACTATACACAGGATATATCGCAACGTTTCGTGTCAAGGTCATGAAGCTCCTAGTGAGTGCCTGCAAAGCAACCGAGTCAAATCAGAATTGAGACCTGGCAAAACATGGCAAGAGAGGGGAGACGGCTTGCTTGCATGATGGTAGATAGGCATCGGTAGACACACTATACTATAGTATCAGGGCTTTCAGAAATCGGCAGCATAAAGCCGCTCGGCGCCTGAATGGTCATTGACTGGCTCGCTGTTGCTCATGGAATCGTTGAAAAGGATCATCGTTCATTGGCTACATCCTTGCTAAGGAGTTCAGCAAGGGGAATAAGGAGCCATGGCAGCGACTCTTTCAATATAATCCATCTCCTTGGGAGATTTCAGAGCTGCTGCAGTGGCACCCGCCTGTAACAGAAGTGGACGTGATGGCAGAGATCCCTTCTCCGGCACTACTAAAAGATATACACTGCGGCTTCTCAATTAATGGACGTCAACTGACAATCAGGCAGTTTATCGAGATGATGAGATGCAGAAGCAGAAGCTGGCTGATAGAAATTTCGGGCCCTTCCGGTGTGAGTGCTCGAAAACACGACAAAGCAACTCAGTTACAGTGGCTGCAGTATCTAGCTGTTCTTCGCAACTCTGGCGAGGGTGTTGCCTTATTTTACAATGGTGTTGAGCCCTCAGCACCAGCTCCTGTGGCCTTCTTCCCTGGTCGTGACATGGTTGTGATGATGCACTTCTTGCCGTCCATGCTTTGGGAGCTGCCTGAAAAAAATGTGCGAGATGAAAAAGAGCTGGAGGCGCAGAGGCCACAACTCAGCAAAAAGAGCAGGAGGTGCAGGCCGCACTTCAGCAATTGGAGGCCTTCAAGCAGACCGCCGCCTTGAAAGAGCGGCGCTTAACGATGGCCACGGTTGCCATTGCGACGCTTGCAGTGTTTTTGACTGCCAGTCTTGCACGGAAGGGCCGAAGCATCTGAAGTCATATGCGTATGTACAGATTCCGCCTAGCCTCATAAACCTGTATCCTGAAGAGCAACCCCGCATTGCCAAAAAGCACATCTGCGTATTTGCACCTGTTCCACATTAGCTGCTGTATCTAAAACTAAATAGCCTGTTCGCCTAATCGGGGGGGTTGCTGTTCACCTAATCGTGGAGTTGCTGTTCACCTGTTCCCTTTTTTCGTTTCCCCCCACCTAAACAAGGGTATATTTGGTGAGTTGGGGGTTGAGACATAGGTTGTTATGGTTTGGGTGCTAGGCGGTGGTGCATGATTAGAAAATGGAAGTACTAACTTTATGGAGGGGGGACCCCAACATTGGAACCCATTTTCTGGGTTTAGTAGGGGTCGGAGAGAAGCGAGCCATGTTTCCTCGCAATCCTTGTGCGCGTACAATAGCCCCCACAAGAGAACAGGGTCTGCCTCTATTTGATGCCTCTTTTCAAAAGCATCCATACAGGAAGGGGCCGCAGCCCGTCAAAGCCCTATGGAAGCAGTAAACCCACGACATCTATGCCACAATCTGCGAACTCTGCACCCTCAGATGACAAATAAAAACCGAAGCTCAACCCGTACCGTCCCATTTCCAGATGTAGCAAGAAACCTTTCAAACATTTGACGCTCAAAGCGTGCGGAGGTAATGCTAGAGAATACCCCAGACGCAAGGTTTTAGAACAAGGAATTCAACATCTTGAGCCAGTGGCCCAATATAAGCCCCTAAAATTTCATGCGCAGCATAAACCGAGAGAGCGCCCAAGCCCCAGCACCCAAAACCGCCAACAACCCCTCGAACCCATTTCTGCCCTTCCCGCTCTCTTTGTCCCGTAGGTGCCAGCTCTGGATCCAATCCGCCTCTCGCAGGCTCGGCTTTGCAGTGATGATTCTAGATTGCTTGTTGCAGTTTAGTGTTCAAGGCTTGTTTAACATTCCCAATCTTTACGAAGGTGTGAATATTCTACATTTAACAGGACTTCGCTGCAGGCTGCAAGGAGGTAATTATTCAACATCTTACAAAGTGTGTTATCTACACTGCTGATTGAGGAGCTCGTTCGAAGCTGAGGTGTGGTAGTTAGAGACTTCAAGACTGGAGCTCATTGCCGAGTCTCGAACTTTCAACCCTAAAGTGAAGAACAGAGGATTGCGTGTGCAGCCCAGAGGAAAAAGCAGAGGTCTGTTTTGGAGGGATGGTATGTGCATTCTTTAGGGAAGGGGTGCATTATAGCCTGTGTCACCTTTAATTTTGTCGGAGAGTCGGTGCCCATAAACCCAAGGGGTAGAGTTTGTCCCATGAAAAATGCACAAGTTAACCGTTGGCATGATTCCAAATTCCTCATGTTTCCAAAGCCCTAGCTCCCAGACCAAAACACTAATAGGAATGAACGAGCAGTAACATTAATGAATTCGGGAACAATGAAAATAGAATACTAGAAATAACATAGCAATAGCATAGTAATAGTATTTAATGCATAGTAATATTGTTGATGGATGAAATCTTGCATTACTTTAAGTCCTGAATGTGCAGGAATTACCGTAATTGAGGGGCTGTAGGTGGTGCCGGATTTCCTCCATCAACAGTAATAGCAGGGGTAAAACAGTATACTAAAAAAAGATAATGATAGTGATGAATGATAATCATAATAATCTTATAGTAATAGTAAAAATAGGAATAGCGGGTAATAGTAATAGGAATAAACTGGAAAAATGCAGCAACCACCATATAGTGATACTAATTAGAATAGAATAGTAACACGATAGCAATAACCCTATAGTATTAAGAATAGAAGAATAAGATAGTAGAAGTCATCATAGTAAGGATCCTGACGCAAGGCCGAGCTCTCGCCGGATTGGCGAGCAGAGGCTGGATGCTGGCAAGTCCATCGGGGAATATCCATTGGGTTTCAGTTGCGATGGGGGTGGATCGGCAGAATTATCTTTCACGAATTGTTTTTGGGGGCCTTCGCCTCGAAAACGTTGCCTGGACTTTGACACTGCGCAATGCAAACCTGGGGGCTGTCCAGAAACTTCGGCTAGCTGCAAGACGCCACTCAACTGTCTGGAAGCTGTCAGGAAAACCAGGAAAAGCATCCTGCATGTGCAGCCTAGGGTCCCCCGAGACATAAACGGATCCAAGCTCCCACCTAGTTTCCTCGGGACATTCAGAATGAGCCCCGCATGTGTAAAAGATGGATTTCCTTGCAGCAATCAGGCATGTAACCTTCTTAGAGGACCTTTCTGGCTGTAGACTGTTTCTGGGCATTTCTTCAAGCCTGGGGGAAGTAAGGAAGAATCGCAGAAAAGGCAGAACAGTAGACTGCATCTGGAACTACAACGTGAAATATATGGCTTGTTCTAGCAACGCTCTTTTGGGAAATTCCTCAGAAGCTAGCGCTTCAGTGGTGTTCTGACAGCAAGTAGTAGACAGCCTACAAGTCCCATGAGCATGCAAGGCGAGGCTATCGGACGAGCCAACGGAAAACAAAGCAAGCACCTTCACTTTCGACATGCGTAGCCGCTTAAGTCTGGGCCTACTCATTGGCCATTCCAAGCGGAATCTCGGTGAAACAACAGTAATCTTGGAAGCCGCGATGCGCCAGAACCTCAGTGACCTTGAAAGTCTTGCTGCCTTCAACGCCAGACAAGCCCCAGACTGTTTCACTCAATCTTTCAGGAGCAAGGCAGCCGCATAATACTTGTACACGGGCGGGTCAGATCGGCCCGGATTTTTTCATTCCCAGACGTCCGCATGAAGCCCCCTACATCCCGACAATCGCAGCCAGGCAGAAGGGCACATCGTCGAGGCTTAGGTGTGGCTTTGGCCCCAAGACATTGGTTGTGTCTGAGCTTCAGGGATTCAGAGCAGAAGGCTTGAGGGTGTATAGGTTGTAGTATCACTTCTGTCGATCGCCTTGGATCCCTTGTGTCCCGAAATCAGGTTGGAAAGGTGATATGAACAGAGGTTCGGGCTGCTTGCAGAAGTATGGCGATGCAAGCCAGCCGTTAACTCCCGGGCACATGTCAAGCTTCATGGGAAGACATCCGCAGTCTTGTGAACCCTCAAGCTAAAATCCTAAGCTCAGGACTATAAAATTGGGTCCTCAGGATTTGGAATCAACATTGCAGTCTACACGCTATACTTACACCCTGGGTTCGAGTGTGTAGGTCTCTTCGAAACTTTGCAAAGCTTATCAAGGAGGCCATGCTTCAGCATCATGTCATTTAGCGCGTCGGTCTGTTTGGGTTCAGGAATGCGGGACAGGAGTTGTTTGTTTGCGGTCTGTCAGCTGCAGATCTTGCATGTACTTCCTGAGGGGTTCCAATTCTGGGCGTTCTGTGGCTGCTGAGCCTAGCCCAGTCTATCTTAGGTATCGACACGTGTTCCCACTGCGTGAATACACAACTCTGGCCTAGCTTAGACTTCATATCATCCCTAGCCTTATATGTCCTACACAGCCCCCGAAACCCTAAATCCTATACCCCCCATATAACACCTATATACCCCTACTGCTACTGTGGGGCCCACGAGCCTTGTTGAGGAGCTTGACTTGAGCAAAGCCGGACCCTGAGCTTCCTAACTCATCTCCAGCTACACGTTTCCCGACTACCTGAAGCTACCCAAGCCCTGAGCCCCAAACCTCAGCTGCCTTTGGCGACTCATGTGTATTCCTGTACAATGTGCACTCAAAAGAGGACCGATACAACCCTTGCAGCCCTAAAACCCCCTGCAAAAGCTAGAAACGCCAAGCCCTGACTTTCAACTTGTGCAAAAAATGCAACCGTAAATCAACCCAAAGCAAACGTCAATCCTCGGAGCCATGAAGCCTGTGCCCATCATGCTGCGGCGGCCGCCGCCGCCTTCGCGTTCCTGGACCATTAGGGATTCAAGTTTAGGATTTGTTTCGGGGTCAAGGGATCAGGGTTTGGGGTAAAGGATTCAAGTTTTTGAATTCAGGCTTCAGGATGCGTTTGCTAAGAGGAAGATTGAGAGTTTGGGGTCTAAGGGCGCTACACATTCGAGTCCCCCTCTCGCTGCACAGCGTGAGTGGCGTCGCGGACCTGCATGTCGAGAGACAACCCTCTGGCTAGTTTCAGCCTTGCCTAGTGTTCATAGGATTGCTCGTGTAGCTGTCGGTGCAAAACTAGTGCCCAGGTCAGAGGCTTTCGCGTCGGGTGAAGTTGGATTTTTTTTTGTCATGAACGCATCGAGCATCATGATGTGCAGGACTTTGAGGCATGGCTGCATGAGGGCCAAGGAGGCCTTGCGCATAGTCTTTAGTATGGAGCCAGGAAGCTGCGAATAAGTGCAAAATGCATTGGTCGTGGTTAGAAGTAAGATTTGGGCTGAGGAAGTGTAGCATAGGTTTTGTTGTGAGACCATTCCATTCGAGCACCCTCAAGTCGACCAAAGTCGATTTTTCCAGTGGTCACCCTCCCTACGGCTACACCTCCTGCCCTGCCCTGTTCCATTCAGAAATCGCAGTGTCCAGAAACAGAGTGACAGCTACAGTAGAAGTCCTTCAAATAGAGACCTCCAACAACAAGGGACCCCTACTTCTCAGACGCACCCGAAAACCTGTCCATCTCAAGGAAGGGTTGCGCCCGCTGCTCCAGCCGAGGACTGCAGCAGGAAGCGCCTGGGAGAAGGAATTACTTACTAATGACTACCAGGGAACAGGTTGTAGGGACTATTAGGGATTATGTAGGGGCTACCACGGGGATCCACCTTGTGGTTTCAGACTGGCTCTTCTGGATCGTTAGCCATGAGTCCAGAAGTGTTAGATTGAAAGTTTGTTGGGTGTCGCCGAAGACCTGGTCACGTGTCTGTCGCATGACAGGAAGGCCCCCTTAAGTAAGGTGTAGAACAGTAGATTCTTTGTTGTAGAAGAAATGGCTTCCTGAAAGGACCCTGCGCACAGAGATGTAGTTACAGTAGCCGTTTCTCTGTTGAGGCTCCAGGCCAAGGGTTGGCCTTCAAGTCTTGGGCTTTTTGAAGGGTTTCTGTTGTAGTTAAAGGTTTCAGGTTTGCGTCTCTGTTGAAGTGCATTTTTTGAGAGCAGGCATCTAGCCTGTGGCGGTGCAGTTTCATGATAAGCTCGGGCACAACCTCACCTCTCCAGAGACAAGACACCAAAGCGCAACAAGCAAAATCCTGTGCTTTCTCAGCTAACCTGGGAAAAACAAATACTGAACGGTGAAAGAAATACGAGTTTAAAGATCTCAAAAACCAGCTAATCCCAAGCAAAAAAGATTCCAAAACGCTGTAAGCTTCAACATACCCTAAACCCCTCAGCTTACACGACGCCACAATGCCTGTTATTCCATATTAGGGACTGCAATTATAGATCAGGGTTCATGAGGTCTTAGATTATTGCACATGGCCCAGGGGCTCGCAACTGCTGCGGCCAAGCGGGGGCCCGAAGCGGCACGAGGAGCTATCTATGTGAGCGACTGTTTCTACTGGAGCGTTAGAGAGTCTATGACTATTCAACTCTATTGTGGTAGTTAGGGAACTCCCAGCGGTTGACATAAAGCTGGCCCACGTGCCAGCAGGGGAGAGGACTCGGCAGTGCAACGTAAGCGGTCTTCGCTGGCAAATAACGTCCGAGTCAGCTAAGCCCCGTGCTTTTGCACGGAGCGTCTGAGAATTGTGTGTGGAATTCGCTCCGCGCGGCCTCCTGCGGGCCATTTGTATGGCGTGGGTCCACGCGATTCCTGCGCGGGACCTGTGCGGGTCCCTTGCGGGTCCATGGCCGGGGCGATATTGGCGGTCCACGCCTGTCCACGTGCGTCTTTGCGAGTCCATTAGAAGGCGGGTCCACGCGGGTCCATTACCCCATCGAAACTGAAAACCCAAACCCTACACCCAGAACCTTCTAAAGCCCTACACCCTAAACCTCCCAACCCCTACACCCAGAACCCAAATCTCTAAAGCCCTACATCGTAAACCTCCCAAGCCCTACACCTAGAACCCTATTCTCGGAAACCCGACGCCCTAAACCTCCTAAACCTTACACCCAGAAGCCTAATCTCTAAAACCCTACAAAATCTCCCCAAGCCGCACTTGCCTCAGACTTGGGCTTAGGGTTTTTGGTAACCGGCAGGAGACGTGCAAGTCGCTCTACAAGTTTGCATTGCGAACGCTGCTAGTGGAAGCCTTGCGTCAGGGCTTGGGGATTGGGTTGGTAGGAAATGAAGGAAGTGAACAGACAAGTCACATCATTTGGGGTTTGGGGGGCTTGAGGGTTCAGGGTAGAGCAAGACATTGGGTGGACATTGTGTTTTCTTTAAAAAATCGGCGCTTGGTACTTGGGATCCTAGAAATTACTAGCATGCTGATGATGATAATGGTGATGATGATGACGGTGATGACACGGAGTATCATCGTGGGGTATACCTGCCTCTCATTTCCCTAGGATCTAGGTCGAGGGAGATTGCTGTTCTGCTGTGCCCTATTGTTGACAGATTCCTATCCGCTGCAGGCTTCGAAGCTAGCATCTCCCAGAGATATCCTACATGCAAGGAGTTGACGTACAACAGCCGCCTACATGATTACCATTGTTGTGTGGTTATACTGATTTAGCGCTTTTTAGGGTACTGACGTATGATCCCAGTAATAAAAAATCAAATGGCAAATGCAGTGCAACATGAAATGTCAGCTGGGGTTATTCTCACAGTTATGCAGAGGTTTGCGAGGGATAATTACAAATGCGTTTGATAATGTTTTTTGGCTCCTACATGCCTTTACATGGCCACTGTATAAACCCAGTTCCCATGTTATTTTCCATGTGATTTTCCATTTCGTTCCTCATTATCTGGCAGTGTCCCGAAACCCTGTATAACCCCTGCATGTTGTAGGGTTTTAGGGCTTAGGGTGTTAGCATCTGGGGTTCGGCGCTTATGTATTCTTTGTAGATGTTGAAAGACCTGGATTCCTGTGAATGCAGATTGCACTGCAGCTTCGTCACTTTGTACCTCCAAAAAGCGGTCCCCTCAATTATATATGCCCACATATTCTTATTCCCACATATTCAAGGTAAACCCCCTAAGCCCTGGACCCCAGAAAAAGGAACGGAGCTTTGTGGCAGATTGTGCATGCTGCGGGTACCTCTCAGGTAGATTCCTAGGTGCTCCGTTTAGGGTTAGGACAGACCCTCTGGGAAACCTTTGGGTTCGCTTATATGGGCCCTTCTACGGCACTCTGTCGTATTTGGGGTACTCAGGTGCTGTTGCACGACTATCCGGAGTTCTTGGCGGACTATCACCATGCGTTCTGTCTCAGCCCTAGCAGATGCTGTTTAGGGCTTAGGGTTTACAGTGTAGGATTCTAGGGTTCAGCAACCCCCTCCCGCTCCCATCAACCCCCTAACATCAGATATGCCCACTGTGGTATACTACAACTTGCGAGGTGGGGGGGTTCAATATTGGGGAAGGTGAGTACTGCTTAGTGGCTGATCAATGGGTTTAATTTGGGTACTGTTCCCACACACACTTTTTAATAGTTGGATAATATTTATATTACAACTATATAGAGGCCGCCTTAATATGATCCTTATTACAGACTGTTAATGGCTGGGGGCAGGGCTCAAGGATTACTCTGAACTCTTACAATGATAAAGGGCTGTACTCGTTCGCGGGCTTGCGAGGGCGCCCTGCCTTTGCCGCAGATGGGGTTTGATCTAAAGGTTGTTTGGAGAAATAATTCAAAGATTCTCTAGTAGACCCTAAACCACGTGTAGACTGCCCCGTCTGGCTACTTGCCTAGAGTGCCCAACTCCAACTGCCCGATGTAGGTAATATTTAGTGGGTT